GTACCGAGTTGGGTACTGATTCTCAGTTAGGTTAGTTGAAATATGCTTTATTACGTAGGATGTCTGACATAATCAGACCAATGTTATTGTGCAGCAACTAGCAACACTAGTGAGTTCTTCTGACCACACAATTCAGTATTTATGTCAAATAGACATTGGGATTCAGTTTGTTTTGTTGTTACAGCAGGCACAGTGGTTCTGCATATAGATGTAGATATTATGGTGAATATTAAACAGTTGTACTGCTTCTGAAGATTCAGAAGGAACAGGCTATCTATGTCAGTCTATCCATCTGTCTTCTTTCATTCTATTATGGACATAAACTATTAGACATTAACTGTGTGATTTTCGTGAAACTTGCTATGAACTTGAAGCCAGTAAAAATATCTTTACTTCATAGTTTTTAACTCCCTGTTATGTATTTCATTATGATGGTCATGAAAACATGTTTGGTTGGAGAACAGTAGTTTCATACAAAGGTAGGTCATGGAATATGGGTATTTGGAGAACAGGTAACTTTCACTATGATAACTTTTTAGGAATGTGGGTAATTACAACATGAAAATTCACACATATATTTTGAGACAATATATTTTGATTTATCATTGTAACATAACATGTTGAACTTAACTCTGTAAAATGTTATAAAGTACTGTTAGCACTAATAGAATTAAAGTGACATGGAACAATAAAGTACATGATACCAGCAGCAAGTGCTTTTACTGCTGGTACAGAGATAGTGATAATTGTTAAAAATATATCATTGTTTTAGGAAAGACTAGTAATGCACATCAACACACTAGGGGGGGTGGAACATGTGGTAATGGTCATTACCAAGAGTCGACTGAGATTATCCAAAGCCTTGAGAACCTTAATACAGAGATACGTGGGATATGGGAAGTGCTGAATAAGCAGCAGAAAAGCAGCACAAACAGGCAAGGTGAGTATCATGTAGCTTCAGGGACAATGGCATGATAATTTAGCTTTGTTTGCATTTACTGATGTTCAGTCTATAGCTCATAAATGTCAGTGTTCAGATTTCCTTATATGTTCTAGTTATATAGTAGGAAATATGTTACTTGTTTTATATTTTTAGAGCAGTGTTTCATAAAATAGGTTGCAAGCACAGTGCTTTGCTGCTGGCATCACTATTCATGGGGTCTTGATATAATAATATGTTTAGTGTTTAATGTGGTTGTAGGTCATAAATATATGTGCAGATTTTTTAATTAAATTTATTTAAATTCTAAGCAATGGCATACAAATTTAATTTTGCGGAGATGAAACATTTCTAGAGTTACTGGATTAAGTGAGGTTTTACTAAACATTTAAACCAGTACAGCAAGTGTGGATGTGTGTGTGCCACAGTTGTACCCCCTCCCCCATTGGTGTACCCTGACATGGGTTGGCCCATGCTGGTGGGCTCCCGAGGCACAGCCACTATGCAGGCGTTGCAGCAGGCTCAGCAGAACATGTCTACCATAGGCCAGTTAACTCCTCCTACTCTCCCAGGCCCACAAAATGCTACTGCCCAGTTCACAGTTGCTCCAGGTTAGTAGGTGATGAAAGTGTTAGACATTTGTCCCAAATGGGAAAATTCTTGGTTCTGGATTAATTATAATATTAAAATTATAGTACTGTCACTGTAACAAGTGGTTGTCTGTAGGTCAGAATGGATCGCGTCAACTTACACAGCTTGGTACAGCACTGGCTCATCAAAATGGAACACCATTCAGAACAGTTGTACTTGGGCAGGGAGGTGGTACAGCTGTTACTGACTCATCCCTTGTAGAACGCACTCGAAGTCTACGTGACTGGTTGCGACAAGCAAGGATTGACTCGGCAGACATCATTTCTCCAGGGCAGGCTACATTGTAGGTATCAAAATGCTGTCATGGAGTAAGTCAGATGTATGAGAAGTACATTCCTTCACATATTTGTTAATGAGATTGGTTTTGGCAAGGTTTCAAAAATGGTGTCAGATGATTTTGTTCTTATATGTTTCTATATTTATTATGTAAAAATATTTATATTACATTTATTAATATATTGTTAACAATAATTTTTATGTGTCATTTATAATATGCAAATAAGAAGATTATCAGTATGTCTCAACATAACAAATTCATGTTGGCATTATTTTATAGAATCCTCTTTTTCCAACCAGCCATCTAGTTGAATTATTTGACCTAGTTCTTGGATTTCCTTCATAAAGCAGAACAGTAATCATCTTTTGAGGTTAATATCTGCTGTATGCAACGAGAAGAGCAGTAAAAATGCCATAGTAACTCGTAAATGATCTGTGATGTTTTATATAACATCTGTATATACTGTGCATTTAAAAGGTGTGTAAGCAAGGAAACATGCAGTTTAACAGTATAGGGCATTTGTGTTAATTTACTAAATTGTTTTTTTAACCAAACTGGCTGTTATTTTAAGTTTTTAACTATTCAGTTAAACCAAGAATGACAAATTTGTGGCCTGTGTTTCAGATCCAGTCTCTGAAGTCATTTTAATTATTTATTTATAGTTTATTTAATGACACTTTTTCAGTAGCTCAGACTGTATAGTGTTGACTGAAGTAATTTTATCTGGCAAGTACTATTCCTTCCAATTAAATTTTGTTTGATGTAGGATATCAGAAAAATTTTGAATTCCCACAGTGACCTTATTAACATTGAGATCTTTCACAACAACAACATTCTTGTGCTATAAGCCATGATATTGTTAATTAGAATTCAGATGTTTTAGAAGTCCCTTATATTTCCAGCATCAGGACTGCAAGCTTCTGGGAGTTTCATTCAGTCACAATAAGTGCAACTATTGTTGAAGAAGATTTCAGTGAATTACTCTCTTCATGTTGAATATTTTTGAAGATGGGGTTAATGATGGTAATATGACAAATGTTATGGAAAATCATGATTTAATAATTTTAGTTTGGATTATATTTTTGAAAGCTTTATAAAGTTTACACATATTGAAAATTGTTAGGCACATACACGATTCTCCACTGTAACTGCGTAATTTCAGTTCTATACCCATGTCTTACATATCCAAATTAATAATCCATTTCTGAATTCTGTTAAAATTCTTGTTGTAAGGTTTATGTTCAGAAGAAAATTTGACTTTTCTTGTGCTTTAAGACTTTATTCCTTCCTATATGTGCCTTTTTGAAGAGTATGGACAGGGGTGGATACCCTATCCTGAGGCCTAATAATTTTCATCATGGGATCTAATTTTATTAGTTCTTTAGCATAATGGGAAAAGGATTAAGTTAAAACTGACAAGCTCATAGAAACTGGAAGCCAAAATTCAGGAACATTGTCAAGTTTGTGTGCTGATGACATAAATGTTATAGTTTTGTTTGTGTTTAAACAAACATTTCCAATTTAAGTGTGTAAACAGCAGCTTATTTTGTGGTATGATTCTTATGGTAAGGTTTTTGAAACTTGCTTACACCGTTCTCAAATAATGCTGTCTGTGATGGTGTTGTACCAAGTGTCATGACTGTAGAAAGAATAATTATTGTGTGAATTACCATAGGGTTTAGGGCAAAGAAACCTAACAAGTTAGTTGGACTGTCATACCTTTGCCCAGTGTTAGTTGTGGTTACCGTGAAATAAATGTCTTAAAATTTGTTTTACATTGGAATATATGAAGGCTATAATTATTTTAATTGTAACATTTTAATTTTCCTGCTGCATTATTTTTATTAAGGCTAATATGATCACATTAATTAAAGAGCCTTTCGTTACTTTATTGTTGTCTAGTTGAAGTATATCTAGAAATAGAAACAAAATTATTTTAAATAGTTGATAATTTATATTTTTTATTATTATAATTTAAGTAATGTAACAAGTTAATATATAACACTTGACCTATGTATTATAAAATATCTGATGTGTTTAAATGACAAAACACTGGCCTTTGTGATTATATCCCAAGTGAGAACATTATGCCTAGTGATATAATTGGGTATAGCAGGTCCAACAAACCCAAAGGTGGAAACATTTTATAACCATGTGTAATATTCTGAGAGTTTCAACTGATGCTAACTACTAGCTGGATCTAAGCATGCTGGAGTAATACAGGGAAGGAGGTGACTAAGTAAAAACATTTTGTTTTGTCTCAGTCTTACAGACCCAGTGAGCCTGTTGGAAAGTTCAAAGGTTAATTTTTATCAAAATTCTTAAACAATCGCTTCTACCTTGTGTCATATATGAGACCTAGTGCTTTTCTTTCTAGAAGTGAAGCACTAGTCCATTGTATTGAAGTATTGGCATGAAAGTAAATGCACTTTCCCTGTCTTTGTGAGGAAACTGAAATGTCTGTGAAGGTAAAGATTTCCAACATGGAAATACAATTTAGATTTAGAAAATCAATATAATCCTGATTACAGTGTAGGATAACCTATATGCTTACAAGTAAGTTATCCAGATTTCAAAAGCAAGGCCTCACATTGGGTTGAAAATGTTTAGTTATAAGGAGATTACTGAAACTTTTCAAGAATGGTGACATGCGTAATACTTCATTCAATGCATTATGGCATATACTTAGTCCAGCTGGTGGTGTGTGTCAGTAGCATACCATTAAACTCTTAAACCTTGGGTTAATAGTTTGTCCTCCAACCATGTAGTCCAGGGTATTAAATCCCCTGTTCATGTAAATAAAAGCTAAACTTTTGTAAGTTTTAAAAATATGTTTTTATAGTTCTAAAATATATTCATTTTAATTCTTTAAGTGCTATATTTTGAAATTAAATTATTAAAAATTTAAGATATATGCACATTAAAATTTCATTGTAAATGTCAGAGTCAAAAAGCACATAAGTTGAGTTAATCTAAGGTTATTCTGAAACACTGGTATCTGCATGTAAGTCCATATTGTGTTACAACCTAGAAGACAAACATCGAAATGTCTAATGACATAGCAATATAATAATAAAAAGTGCTGAAATTCAAATTAAATATCTATTGCCCCTTTTATAGAACGGAAAGATAAGTATAATTAGTTGTGAGATTTTATTGTCAAATTTTTTTGGAACTGAGAAACCCCATAAAAGAATATGTCAACCACTGTCTGAAGATAAAATGCATGACAGTGGCAAGTTTCTTTGATGCAGGATGGTGCTATTCCTGAGTAACCTGCCTATTTATTGCACTAGCTACAAATATGTTTGAATCACTGTAACGTAGGTTGTGAACTGAAATATCTTCAGGCTCAATTCTGTGCAGGCCATAGTTCAACTATATGGAGCTTGTGGCAGACACTAATGCTGTCACTCCTGTCCAATTCCTGTTATGTTGGTGTGGAGAAATTGTCATGGATTGCTGGTCATAGATACAGTTAAATCTCAATGTATTTATGGCAATGCCAAAGAAATCTTGCAGATATTTGTAATTCCATTTTTGGGTGATGATGACTGTGTTATTGGCTAGTTTGTCAGTGGTTAACCCTTCAAAGCCAAAGCTCATGTAATATTTAAGATTTTGGTCTGTACCTCAAAGAAAAAAGGACAAAAATCTCCATTACAAAGATCAACTGGTTAAAGCTATTTAAGGAAATAATCACTGTTTACACTGAGAATCTTACAAACTCCATAAAAACAAAATGCAGTATTACTGATTGTTAAAGAGAATGGTACATATAGTTACTGCTTGGATTTAAACATTTAAAAGAAAGGGTAATTTCAGTTTTCAAGGCAAAGTGACTGTCAGTAGATTCAGTTTTCATATTTACCACACAGGATAAAAAGCAGTGGACAATCCCATGTTTTGATTTGTGGACATGAAAAAGTGTATAAAGGGTTATAAATTCAAACTCATCCATTCCAGTTAACTGTACTTTATATTCCCCTGCTTATCACTGTTTGCCGAATATCTTTTGTAGGTGATACACTACCTCTAAATAAACTACAAACCATCTTAAAATTGGTCATCAAGTTATTTGCTCATATACATCATCTTCATAAGCCATACAGAAAAACTATGATTCATGAAATACTGCACTGTATATAATTACTAAGACTTACTGACCTATGATGTTGGAAGTGTTACTTGGATTAAAGACAGTAGAATCAAATATTTCATCCAGTAACATGTAGGTAACTTGGTTTTGGTATATGCCTTCCTCTTACACTACAGATATGCACAGTAGTACAAGAAATGTAAAAATACAGGGCAAGCATGAATGTTTTCACAGAAACTAAGTATACGTTCCTGTTCAGAGTATCGTTATCAGTCATGATATAATGTGAATTCTTATTCTTCATTATTATACATAAAATAAATACATGATAATTTACTGTACTGAATATTGTGAAATAATATTATACAGTATAGCACTATGAGATGTTATACTTTATTGTTCAAACTTAAGTAGTTCTTAACTTGTACAAAATTTGTTGTTATGTGATAGCTATTAACTGCTTGCTATGAAAATTAAATTATTATAATTGTTATTTGTACATGCATTATAATGATAGAGTTGTGGAAGTAAAACAACAAACATGGTAACTACCTGTTCCATGATTTTATACATGTACTTATTTTCTTACTTCCTGTAACTGTAATATTTACAGGGCTTGACAAATGCACTCACCTGGTCATCTGTAACAAGTGACAACTTACAGCTGGTTCTGTTACACATAAATTTTGAATTGTCTAGTAAAACATGATGAGAGAAATGCTGATGTGAATAGTGAACTAAGTTAGCATTTGTCAACACCTGGAAATTCAATTTTATTTAAACTTTGATGATATATTTATAATATTTTACATTTTTATAGCCATGTAAATATAGATGGCAGTCATCTGAGTTGTTGTGCCATGTAGCATTTTAGCTGTGCAGCTGGATTTCATCCCAGAAGATGGAGGCACTGTGTTCCTCCTTAATGTTCGTAGTACACTGCCAAAATGCTAGACAACACAAAAACCCAAATCATCATTTGGACTTACTCATAGATTTCAACTCTCAATATTTTCCATTTATTACAGACACTCCCTGTCAGTTATTGCTGATAGATGGTATTAAATGTGACTGGGAACTGTAAGTTGTTTATAGCTTCAGATATTTGGTTCAAGGTTTATCTAGTCTCTACAGAAAGCAGTTCATGCAGTTACTAGACATTAATATGAAATTGCGGCAGGAAACATGTTGCAGCGAGGACAGGAATCTTCAGATTACATTATTCCCAGTGAAGTAAACATATTGATATTATTTTATGCTCAGCATGGTTTGGTTCATATGTTATAAAATTAATTAAATATTGTATATATAAAGTGTTTTATATTATCAACTGTCATAAAATGGTTACAAAATGTCACGGAAGAAAATAGTAAAATATATGAAATCATATTCTGATGAAAACACTTCATCTCTCTGGTTCTGTGGTTCCCAAATGGTACACAGAATGCTTCGGTAGTTCACTAAAAATAACAGTGGATTTTTTGTATGTCAGTATTATTTTAAGGAAATATTGTATAAGAACAACACAGTATGGTTGCTGGCTGTGCTTTTGACTGCTTCAAAATTTGATACAGTGTGAATGTTTTGGCTTCAAATTTTTTTTATGTTGTACAGTCCTGCAAAACATATTAAAGTCTCTAGTGCTGGTCATCTTTTAAAGGACTTGGTATGGAAATGTGCTACTGCAATGTATACTGTGCCAGTTGCTGGTTTGATTGTATATAGCCTCTAGAAACAATGTAATGGAGCACAGTGTCATGTTTAGAAATTAAGGCATTTAAATAAGATTTAGGATGAAGGGAAAAAGCAAGTAAGAAAGGTGACTAATTTGTGCAGCTGCTGTAGTATGATATGATGATGTTTTTAATTAAGCCGTTGTGCAGAACTGCTTAACATAAAAGATTTAAAGGCATTGGACATTCACCGATTTCCTGATGCGTTGCTGTTTTATAGTTTCACTAGCTGCCCGTTACTGGTGAAAGTTGAGTTGCATGGAGATGAAGGTGTTAGAACAAATAAAATAGGTCCTGGAAGAAATATTGTTTGGAGAAATGAATGATATTTTAAGTGGGAGTTGGCATATTGTGATACAAACAGAAGGGTGAAGAATTCACCTCTGGCTGCACCATGCTGTTGGTAGAGAGGAATTTGCATGTGCTTAATATTTATAAGGTGTATGTAAATTTCTGAAACACTGCATTGCATCATTGTCAACTGGTAGCCTGTATTGTATCCAGGATTCTTAAAATTAATTCATGAGAGGGATTAATGCATTCATAAAAAGAATAGCAGATGTAATACAATGGCCTGTATAATACCCTGGCCAATATACAAGAGGGAAATGATTATTAAATAATGGTACTACTTTTGTGAATGTGTATTGGTATCCTTCCAATCATGTGGTGGTCAGAAGGGTGATTTCCCTGTCCTTTTTGTTTACATTGGGATTATTCTTGGGCAATCCAGAGAATATCTGTAAAGATACATGACTAACTGGACTACTTAAATTAAAATTTACAGTATTGGTATAACATATTGTACAATATGGGATTGCAGAATGTTGTATTGAAGTTCTATTTTACTGAAAAGAGTTAACATGCCCATAAATGTTTATCATCTAGCATTGTCATAACCTATTATGCATATGCATTGCAGTGTCACATGATTACTGAATTTGTGATATCATACCAAACAATTAGACATGCGTGTAGCCAACTCCTTACAGTTCACATAAAGTTAATACATAGTACTACATCAGAGGAGATTTTATTGTGCCCTCTGTCAGAATGCTGCAGAAATAATGGTATAATAAACTCTGAATTATCCATTTTTAACCTCAAATGTTTTTAAAAAAGTATTTGAAAAGTAACTTTCTAGATGTATTTGCCCATATCTGGCAATAGTATACTGCCCCTTATTCCCAGTTCTCATAAGAATACCCAGTTTTATGGTTAATTTACTTTGAGAATTTGTGATTGTCTACTTAGTTGCCATGAAAGCTTCAGATCATACATTAGTCAAAATTGTTATTTATGCAATGCCAAATGAAGTTTGTTGAACTAAAATGATATTATAAAAAGGAATAGTGGTAGATGCTGTTTATAAATTATTTATAGTGTACTAACAGCGGATAATATAGAGTCAATTATACTGGTAGACGTTTGTGCCATTTGTATTTACACAAAGTAACATATTAATGGTGGTCTTTGTATGTGAAATTTATAATACTGGAACTGAATAGCAGTCATAAAGAGTCTCATTACACATGCAACTGCCACAGGGTACTGGCCTAACCATTCAGGTTTTAGGGAAAAGAAGATTTTGAAGGAAATGTAAACTACATTATAGTAGATAAGTACAGAAAGGGGTAGGTGGTACTTTCATAGCATATTTTCAGATACATAGTTTAATTAAAGTTACAAAATGTGCATATTTATTGTAGTATGTTATATATAACTGGTTGCCATATTTACTGTTGTCAGAATTGTGCCATCCATTCTATCACACACCCAGGTACAATAAAGTATTTGTTGTTATACCGTCCATATAGTAATTTACATTTATTTAACTTATTATAATTTAAGAATTATAATGCTGACATTAAAATCTTAAGTAAACAACCATTTTTAATACTGTTATTATACCTCAATGATCCCAGTGGTACCATAGCTTCCTGTTACCTGCCAGCAGCCTTTCTTTATCTGTAGATTGTGGAAAGGAAAACAATATGGTAAGATAAAAATGGTCTAGGTATGAAATAGCACTTGATATTTACCCAGTATGAAATTCCAGACACATTCAATAAGAGGAAATGGGGAACTGTAGAGATTTGCTTCATGTTTTATGTATGTTATTGTCAAACTCTGAAATCTGTCTAATATTGAGATTGTGATTTACATCTTTTATTACATGCAGTAAATCTCTAGTTCATGATATTTGTTACAGTTTCATCCGAAGATATTTTTTATAGTTTAATTTCTTATGTTTTTTATTATTGCTGACACATTCAAGTAGAGTTTATGTTTCACATATTCCAGTGAACAGTGCTATCAGCAGGATTTGAGGTTTTCATGGTGAGTTCAAAGATGGTTGTCTTTTGGGTTGAAGTACTGTGTAGTCTGGTACACATTTAGTAATGTTTCAGAGGTCCTTGCTGCCTCCATCAGGATGGATGATGGATTGATGTTATCAGTAGCTCAAACTATATAGCATCAATGATTAATGGACAATGAAGTAGAAAGAATGTGGAAGGAAGCAGATGGCCTAATTCAAGGTACTGTTCCACCATTTTCTGGGAGGGATTGAGGAACACTACAAAAACCATCAGTTAGGATAAGTGGTCTCCAAGCTAAGATTTGAACATAGGACCTCCTAATCATTAAGCAAGAAAGCTAACCATTTGTCTGAGATTTTTATTTTACAGGAAATTTGTGGATATTTATATGTTTCAAGAGTGGTAAGTATTCCTCTATTAATTTTGTCTTTGGCCATTTTCTGTTATTTCTTTGTCACTGTATAATGACTATGTATCAGTATTATTTTGTATTGCTTATTGTAGTTTGTATTATTCTAAGATTTAGAGACTGCTGCAGGTTCCATTTTATTTTATACAGCATTGTTAAATTGAGTAACTAGAAGACCATTAAAATTATGCAGTGGTTTCCATGCATTCCTTTATGAGAAAATACCAGAGAGGTGAGGGCATAATATACAACCTGTAAATCATACATCAAGATAACATTATAATTAAAATGTGGGATTACCAACTGTGATATTAACGGATTATATCAGTTTTTGCAAGGGCAAGATTTGCATGAATTTTCACATCTATGCTCATGTCCTATTTTAAAAACTATCAATATAATTTAGTCATTACATGTCATACGGTCAAATTCTTTTGAAAGATGGCAATTCACGTGTTTCTAAGATTTTAATGTCCCGGACGATTTTTATTTTGGGTTGTACATGTGGCATGCCACTCTTGAACGTTTGTGTACCATGTGGTTATCATGGTGGATAAGAAATGTGTTGTGGGATTGCGTAAAGGTAAATATTAATACATTATATGTTCCATAAACAGATTGTACAGTAAAACATACTACAATTGCCCTCATTCAGGGGCGAAAGAAACATTTGCAAGCGAATTTTGGTTACAGATTGTCACAGTGCCCTATCTATCGTAAGTATGCTATATGTAATAAAAAAATAAGTAATACAAATATACATAGACTTATTGATAGGCCATTCGGCAAACTTGTATTATAGCGCTGGAGGCCTTGGTGGTGTTAAGTTTATTGCCAAGATTTATTTTATTCTATGTAAAGGTAAATCGTGTAATAAACAAAATTTAAGAACTCGGAAGTTTAACATAACCTAAACATCAACAACGAAACAAGATTCTAAGGAGAGTTTTCACTCACTCTATGGTGCATGATATTCTTTGAAAAAAGTATTGTGTACTCCGCTTGTCAAAGAATAGCCCTTTTTTATGAAACCCGAAGGTTCATCACCATCTTCACAAAAGTCAGCCACCAGACTCTATCCTGAGCTAGCTGCTGCATCTAGTTCACTCCAATGATTCCTCTCTAGTAGGTTTAATCACCCTAAGAATATCAGGTAAGGAATACAGGCCTTGTAGCTCATCATTATGCAATTTTCTCCATGATCTGTCTCCCACCCATCTAGGTTTCATTATCTTCCTCAACATACTGTTTTCAAAGACCCACAATCTATGTTCCTCCTTCAAAGTGAGAGACCAAGTTTTGCACCCATACAGCACAACTGGAAAAATTACACATGTATATTTTAATCTTTAGTTTTTTTATGTGAGATGGGATGACAAAAGATTTTGGACTTAATGATAACAAGCATTCCCTGAATTTAATCTACTCAAGGGAGAGTGTTACAAAAGAGCTATCTAAATTTTTTTAACTTCCTCAGGATGGATGAAATACAAGTGGTGGTTGTGGGTGCAGGGGCAGCAGGAGTGGCAGCAGCTGCTAGGTTAATGGAACGTGGAGTTAATGTTACTATTTTAGAAGCAGAGCAAAGGATGGGAGGCAGAATTCACACTGTTCTTTTTGGTAAGTTTTATATCATTTAGAGATGTTATTGTGTTTGCTAGTAATGTAAGAAGTATTAAGAGACTAGAACATATCCGCTTCTGACAAGATTTTAGGATGAACGCAAGGGACAGAGTGTGATTTTTCAAAAGTTTTAGCCAAGTCCAGAGGTTGGGGAGGGAATAAGAAAATATTGGAAATTGAATTTCTACATTGTTCAAGATAGCTGAACAGATTTGAGCTAAAACATAATACAGTTAATGAATAAAAGAAGAAGGAAATGCAAACTAAAAAAGGTTAATGACTGCATAGCTTACCATTTTTTAGTACTCCTTGTACACCAATTCCATTGGACATAAGCAGCTGAAGTGTGTTAACACTAAAGTGGTTATTGTGATAGCTTGGAATATTATGCACTCAATCCTACCCTTAAGTTGGTGGTATATTGTGTCTTTTATAATTATATATGCGCTCTCAAACAGCCAGTGTATAAGCTGGTGGTTATAGTGCCTGTGATGGGTTGATTGGAGCTGGCAAATGATTTTAATTTTTAGAAAATCTGGTATATGTCTTCAAAATGTATCCCTCCTGTGCTCTCTGAAGCAAACAGGCAAGTGAAGTGATGTTAATCTATGTCCACACGCTTATTCCATATGGCTTTTCTTACAAGTAATTAATATAGTTTGCTGTGTAAGTAACAGAATCTAGTTATTTAATCAATTAAAAGATTGCTTGGTGTCTTGAGAGACTGGTAAATATAACTGGCAATATAAATAATATCCAGTTAGAACCTTGCAGTTTATAAATGAATATTTTCTATCAGAAATATTTTGATCTTCCTGTTTTACAGAAAAATTATGTATCCACAGTTATGCTATTTATTGCTCCACCTAATAAATTATAATCTGTATCATGACACATAAAACACCATATATCACACTACAAGATTCAAAGCATATAATCTGAACTGCTACTACAGACATGAGATTCTCAGTGTCTACTGAAATATAACTTGAACTGTTGCTGCAAATGTATTGACACAGTCTTATTGTAAACTGTTTGATAACATTTCACCATGACTAAGCTATATTGACACTAGAACGTTAAACTTGAAATGCTACTATAGTATCTACAGCATAAGACTGTCAGTATTGTGGAACGTAACTTTCTACAGAAGCATTTCTGTGCCTGTTAATTCAAAAGTAGAAGTCCCTAATGCCATATTAGGAAAAATTATGAGAGCTCTCTGAGTCTCCTGCTATGCTTATTTGCACCTTCACAGTAAACCTAACCTAACCTAACCTAACTTGTAAGTTTATAAGTACTTTGAAATGCTTGCTTACAGAAGATGCTGTGTTGGATCTTGGAGCTCAGTGGGTTCATGGAGAAGTGGGCAATGTTGTATTTTACTTGGCAAACAAGTATGGACTTTTGACTGAAAGTAATACAAGAATATTAGAATCACCATATATTGATTGTACAGGAAAAATTGTTGACCAAGAGGTTGCAGATAAAATAATAAGAATTTTATCATTTATTCACAAGAATGGTGACTCTGTATTAAGAGACTTTGAAGGATCTCTTGGAGATTATTACAATGAATCGTAAGTTCACATGTCATATTACACTTTGATTATAAGGTTTGCTCATTGTTATTGATTTTTAGTTATAAATAATTACCAGTATAGACAGAGAAAACTGTTTGAAGAATTTTACTTATGTTGTGGTTGCCATATACAGGTAGTTTCTGAAATATACATCATGACTCTAAGGGCGTGTTCTGTGCACAAGAGCAACAAAAGAAGCCTGTGTAAACATGGATCTTTGATTCTGTTTGTTATGGAAGGAGAGCAAATGATGTTTAAACCCATCCAAAAGAAAAGAGTTTGCATATATTTTGTAATTTTCGTGAAACTGGTTGCAATAATTTTGTGAACATTGTTAATGTGTTACAATGTTGCTTTTTTTTCTGGGAGTAAAAATGCTCATATCACATATTTGTTCATCAGTTATGTTTCTGATTTCCCATCATGCCAAATTGTGCATTTCTCACCACAATACTTCTACAGTTATAATGTCACAGGAAAGCATAACTGTACTGTATGAAGTCATTGTATTTATATTTTTTAATTTAAAAAAATAGTTTTAACAGATTTTCATATTTTCCAAAAATCTGTCATTATGGAGTATATTGTAATTTTGATTGGGTTATGCTTATGTTGGTTCAACGTCAAAATTTCTTATGGCTGCATGTTGATTTCTATGAAGGTAGTGATTTAAAAGATACTAAATTTTGGCCATTTTTATTGGTGTGATTGACTTGATGAATTTTATGAAAACAGATGTTAGTAGATCATACACATTTTGTAGATTTCAGAAAAAGATGGAAGAAGAATTTTCTGGTAGTCATTCAACAATAGGTCAGTATTTCTTAGACTGGTTCCAAAAGTTTGAGAACAGTATTGATGGTTCTGATTCCTGGTTTGAAACATCTGGCCGTGGTCTGACAGAATACTGGGATTGCGAGGGTAATCTGCTATTGAGCTGGAAATCTGGAGGGTATCAGAAAGCCCTGGACCTTTTAATGGTAAGACCTTATTTGTGTAATGTTTTTTGTAATCCCTCTGTTTATGGTATTCCCTGTCAACCTGGCAAGAGTGACTGAATCCATATTAGTCACTATTTCAACTTGTGGAATGATGAATTGATTTTTATTTCAGAATAAATATCCAGGTGGGGAAGATGAAGTACATGTTGGTGGTAATGTAAAATACAATAAAGAAGTTACACATATTAAGTGGAATAATGTGCCAGCAAATAAAGTCCTAGTGGAGTGTTCTGATGGTTCGTCATATGCAGCAGACCATGTTATACTGACTGTAAGTCTTGGTGTGTTGAAGGAGAAAGCACACTCCATATTCTATCCAGCATTGCCACCAAAAAAGTTAAAAACAATTGAGGTGAGTTGACTAGCCAGCTGAATTAATTATTGCCAGTGAGGATAAGCAGCATTTGACTGAGTCCAGTTAATGGGTTTAAACACAAATTCCTTACTAAAGGATAAGTTCTATCGCTGTGCTGAAATATCTTTCTGAGTAGTGCAATGACTGTTTAACCCCATGGAACAAAGTCCTTCTTGATAAACTGCTCTGCTAGTCAAGTAATTCTCCCCTTTTATGGAACCTATATGTTCATTGCAATGTTCACAAAAAACCTGCCTCTGATCCCTATCCAGATCAGATGAATCCCATCTACATCCTCCATACTCACTCCACCTGTTCCTGTTCCAAGCGTTTTGCACTTTGGTATTCTCCAGCAGAGTAGTGCAGTGTGTTGTGTATGCAAGGGTGGATGCATATTTTCTGAAGAGTATAGCTTAAATATTTATGCCCACCCACACCAAGCAGACTTTTTATGTCATACTATCTGTAGTTGATAAAAGTAATATTCATCTATAATTAATATAATTGGTTTTATTTCTCTCCTTATAAATATCTACAATGATAGTAATAGTTTGTTATCCATCCAGAAGTAGGTCTGATATATCTGATTCTTAGTTCTTCTTCAAGAACTCCAGGCGTTATTATTAAAGATAAGTTTATGTCATCATTTTCATTCAGGGTTTGGGTATTGGGTGCGTGAACAAGATATATCTCAAGTTTCCATACCAGTGGTGGCCAGAACTACACTCTGGTTTTAACTTCCTTTGGACTGATGAAGAGGCACATACTTTCAAGCCTTCAGGAAATGTGGCTGAGGTGTGTATTATTTTTAGTCTTATAAATATGGAAAACAGAATTTTTAAACATATCAAAGGCTCATAACTTCTGTTTTCTTTACAAGTACGTCGTATTTTCCTTGTGGTTTAGCATTATACTTTATTTTAATACTGAACATTGTACCTGTGCAAACAATTGTGATTTGAAAAAGAAACTGAAAAAATACTTCACATACTTTTACAAATAGATCACTTATTTTGGCCTCTGTTTTTTGATGTTTCTTTAGTTGAGGTTGTCATTCAAGAGACTATAATCTGATTGGGATTATGAAGTGGAGTGGTTACGATGAAATTGAAGAGCATATAATTGAAATGTGAAATTTAAACAGCGTATTAGTGTCAGATTTATTAATTGGCACTGTTAATATTTTAGCGTATTAATATAAAAGTTCTAAATTCTAAAGCTCAGGAACCAGGTGTTTTTTGCTGCTGTGTTATTTATACAGTTCTGAAACTCTGCTCCTTGTGAAAGCTATTAGTGAGTGTGTGTTTCTTTGTTCCCTGATTTAACTTTTTTCTTCTTGCATTTATGTTTTTTTTACAATGGACATAAGTATAGGAACTAATTGACTGAGTTTATGGAACTCAGTAAAAGTCATGCTGTTTAATATCTTCCCATCTGGTTAACTTTAAACTCTGCCATTAACAATGCCAACATAGCATTGACTGAGGTGGGAATAATACTGGCACCTTTAACGCAGGGTTTTGAATTTTTGTATAGGGATATATTTTTTTATAGTAAGCACATTAAACTATTTTTTAAGAAAATGGTAAATAACATGATAACTATGCAAAATAGTTTGTTGTTTTGACCATAACTGAAGACTCATTGTAACCAAACTTGTTAAATGTGAATGGTGACATTATACACACATTTGCTAGTAGTATGAGCGATAATGAAAATTTAAAAGGTTTGTTTATCTGGAATCTTAAAATACACCCTACTATTGACATGTTATTTTAATATTTGTGTTGATTTGTCAGTATGTTCTAAAGCCAACCATTTCTTTGAATTATTAATTTTTCTGAATGTTGACAGGGTGTGGGAGGAAAGCAATGGCTTCAAGATGTATTTGGGTTTTATTCTGTGGACAACCAGCCTCTAGTATTATGTGGCTGGATAGTGGGACCTTCAGCACGCTACATGGAACAGTTGTCTGATGAACAAGTGATAGATGGCTGTGTTGAACTTCTGCAGAAGTTTGCTGGTAAAGGCTTTAATTTGACAGTACCTAAGCCTGAACGTATGGTGAGGTAAGGATCTTTGTGCTATTTATGTCTTTTCATATTTATATTTGATGAGTCTATGCTTTGGAAAGTTTTAAAACCAAGCTTGACTACCCTGTTTAGCAAATATTAGGGTGATGAAGTCAAGGAAGATGAGATAGATGGGGTATGTGGCATGCATAGATTAAAGGAAACGGTGGAACTCATCTGTATCTTAATTAAGCATCACTCCGTGAAAATGTGTGTCAGGATGGAAGTATCTTCTTCTTCTATGGCTCTCTGGTCTGTATTCGGTCCATGGCCTCCTCAATTCTCCTCTTCCATTCAGTCCTCTGTTAGGTCCATCTGTCCGAGGCTTTGATTGAGGATTCGAAACATCTTCCTTTTTACGGTGCAAGGTTGTTAGCCTTGCGACCAACCCCCAACCTGGAGGACCAGGGAACCTGTCTTAGTCTGACCTCTCCCCCTCGACCAATCTGGCTAGGGAGACCCGACCAGTAGCTATGCTACCGCCAGCATAGCTCTTGGGATCACTGAGGTACTCAAGCCCCACCACCATGACAAGGTCCAGGTACCATTAAGTGGGTGGAGGGGGTGTGTGGAAGTATAGTTGCAGGCATTCTTCACTTGGGTATAAAATGTGTATGGTACTTTTTATAGGAAACCTGAAAAGGAATATATTGATTAAAGTCATGATGCGTGTTTTATATTTGAACTGGTTAGATGTTTTGTAAAGTGGAATACTTTATTGTCAGTATGTGTTTGTATCAGGTCAGCCTGGTCATCAAACCCTCACTTCCGTGGCTCATACAGCTTCCGCAGCATGACTTCAGAGACTCTAGGAGCATTTGCATCACATCTGGCTGAACCTTTAACTAATAACAATAAGAAACCAGTATGTATCGTTGTATCTACTGTTATATGTTTGATAACTATATTAGAATATGTCATATTTTCCAAGGGTTCAACCTGGTAACACATGTTTTTGGGAAGAATAAGCATCAACTTTCCTGTATGACTGCATATACAGCTATCTGTTGGACAGGTACTACATCTAAGAAATCTGGAATTAGAATGTTAAACATTTTTATTTAACTTCCAGCTCATGTTATAGTTAGAGGATTCTTGTGATGCGGATTCCCTTTATCTTCAGTATGTAAATATTTTTGAAATATGCAAACACTTATCCCACACCAATGTGCATGAAGAAATCAAAGTGTTCTCTTATTTGTCCCTGGACCAGTAGTTTCTGATGCTCCCATCTGGTCATAAAAATTCTTGATAGACAAGGACAGCAATCAAGAGAGTTCTTCTGTTCTGACATTTTGGGTAGCAGAGGATCTGTATCTGTAGCAAGTTGCAAAGTCTTTTTGCGGATAGCAGTTTGTTTCCTCAAATTCAGTGGTAAACACATTTTTGGTAAATTATATGGAAAAAAAGTCAATTGGCCAAAAACTTTTGTTTAGATATGGCAAAGGCATTTTGTTTGAACAACTGTTTTGCAGTAAACTGATATGCACTTGAGATCTAATATTTTGAAATCTTTGAGGATGATGATGTTCTTCTTGGTTTTGGTGCTGTGTAGACATGTAGGTAGATGTCAACATTTCATAGAAGCATATTATCTCCATCTTCAGTCCCAACAATTGTTCAACATAACATTTCTGAATTATGTAGTCCTGTGATTCAGCATATGTCAATTAACCATTATCTTCTGAAGCATTGGTAACATAATTTAAATGCTGTATGTCATTAAGATTTCACCATTAGTAACCTGAGACATAACAATTTATTATAAACATTTCAACATTTTTGTATTATAACCTCATTCATGAAAAACTACTTCTTTATCTTATCAATCATTAGGTTTTGCTGTTTGCTGGTGAAGCAACACATGAACACTATTATTCTACTGTGCATGGTGCTGTGGAATCTGGATGGAGGGAAGCAGATAGGATCTTTGCATATTATGGGTAAGTGATATGGTAATTGCTATAACAAGCTGTGAATGTACTAGTGTTGCATATTCTCTTATTGGCTGTGAATGAGATTTGGTTATTCTTTATTAGGGTGGCCAGATCTCCTGGGATTGAAGAACAGTCTCATCTTTAGTTGACATACTATTCCTAGCAGTTGTGAATTTTAAATCTTTTTTCATTATGAATTAAATGGAAAGAATTACATTTTTAGGAGCATCAAAAATAACTTTGCAGTTAGTACTGCTGTACTATTCCCTCACCTTATGAGGGGAAGGTCATGTGACCACTGATAGATATGGCATACCAGATTTGGTTGCTGTTATCAACTTCAGTGTGAAGATGGCTGTGTTTTGAGATATTGCACTGTGTAGTCTGATACGAATGTACTGAAATTTCAGAGGCGCTTGCTGCCTTTGTCGTTGGGCAATATTGTCATGTATGTAATTTTTATGTTTTGATGTAGTACCACTTGGAATCTGGATATCTTGTCCTCTATTCTGCTTTTAAAATTAATCAGTCTATTTTATTTGTGTGCTACAAATGACAAAAGTGTACATTATTATTATTTAAATATTAGTTTGATATGCTGTGTCTGGTTTTGGTTTGCTGTTGTTATTCAAGATGTAAACAATTTCTTATTATTTTTTGTAGAGGCGTGCAATGGTTGTTTTATTTTTGTTTATCTGAGGAAAGTTATTTTTATGTTTATGTTGTTTAAACTTTAGTCTGATTGTGTGAATTTTATTCAGGTATTCAAAATCTTCTCTGTGATATGGGTGTGGTGTTTAGTGTAAATCCAGTGACTACCTTCATCTCAGGACCTACATGGATGAGCATTCCTTAAAAACTTAATTACACCTAAGATAAACATTGCATGAACCATAAAGGGCCATACTTCTTCCATCAACTGATCCTGCAAAGCAATATTATTTGAAGATTTCATCTTCTGCAATATTCTCCAAGACAGATATTGTTTTATATTTCTCATACACGTTTTGTAATGATGTGAAAGATTGTGTAATATTCTAAGTCAAAGAGATGGAGATTCTTCAATATTGTTTTATCTACAACTTTCAGTGTTGTAAGTATAATCTATTTTTTGTTGGCTCCAGTGAAAGTGACAATCTAAGATATCAGCCTATTTCAAAAATTTTTTGGAAGCATTTGTGTGACTGAATAGAGACTTAACAGTCAGGTTCTGATTTCTGGCATTTTGTATGTAGATTACTGGTCATCAAAAAGGTTGCATCTGTTTATCTTGAAAAGTATTTTGACTACCTTTCACTGTTACTGACAAATTTGTCCAGTAAAAGTATTACCAGCATTTCACATTTGGAACTTGGTAGTTAAATGAATAGTTTATAGATAAACAAATAAACAGTTACTTTTGCTGTGTAATACTTCACAGATGTAATTAAATCAATTTTGTTGAATCTATTCTGAATTCTGTCTTGTAAGTAATTTCAGAATTTGCTGTGTAGAGGATGCACACACATGTATTATATACATTTTGTGATTGATCTGTCATAATATATTTCCATGTTTAAAACATGACAGACATTCCATAGCATGGTATAGATAATTTTCAATTGAAAGACAGCAAGTCTATCATGGATAATGTAATTTAATGTTAAAGAGCATATATATAAAGTTTTGCTAATATCTTAAATCACTATGTGAACAGTATAAATTGAGAAACATTTTGAAGTAGTTTACTTCAAATTCAGGGCTGTGGCATTCTCTGATGACAAATATTTTCAGTTATTAACAATCCATTGCTCTTAATGAGAATAATATGTTTTATATTAATGTTGTTTTCAAGAATTTAGTGTTTTAAAAAGAGTAACTTTAAGGGTTAAAGTGTTTATGATTTTCCTCATTATGCCATATTTACAATAAAGTTACCTTGTTGTATAGTTGTTACATTTTATTAAGTTTGTGCCCTATCAGACAAAATGCATTTACTGTGTATAGTAATGGTTTGTGTGGTTCCTTGTTTATTTTATTTTATTGTAGCATTATTTAGACTGAAATTTCATTCTTTTAGGGTGCTTGGTAATATTAATTAAGTATATGAAGTTAAATATTTTCTGTAGTTTATGGTAGAAAAATTCTTTAATAAACATTCATATCACATGTTGTTCATAACTACTTTCCCTAATTAATTTTACTTATGTGTGTTCATGATTATATTTTATTATG